CCGACGTTGGTTGAAGGTCAAATAATTACGTTGGCACCTGTCTCTTATACACATCTAGATGTGTATAAGAGACAGGATCTGACCATACAGTACACCGCCTGTGAACAGCAGAACAGGAACCATCTCAGATCCATGGCAACAGATAGGACGCCCTCTTCCAAAGCTTATTACTTTTTCTCTTCGGTAATAGCGCATGAATGACGCCCTCTTGCTAAATGGGAAACTTTTGAACCTTGACCGACGCTTCTATTTGTTACGCGTAAATCGCGGAGAACGCTATCTTGTGTTTATAAGATCTTTGATCTCCAGTTGATTTTTTTTTTTTTTTTACAGTTGGGTTGGCAGCCTAGGCCTAGGGCCTAGGTAATAATTAATTATTACTTGTTAAATTTATACAACATATTCAACAAACCTCCTAATATTTTGTGAATAACCTTCAAAGAAATAGATTACATAAGTATACACAATACACCGAATTTTTTTTCCAAAGAATTAAAATGGTTTCAAATCACTTTTCAGCGTAAAGAATGGATTTGTTTTGAAAGCGAAAAGAAAAGAAACTTGCCATGTGGTAATCCTGGGTTGACAGCGTATCACAAGTAAGCAACTTGTTAGATATCTATTTCGTTTTATAACATGATAGTTCAGATCTTTTGAAAACAATAAGGCAAGACTAACAAATACATCTATTTTGTTAAACGTAGTGCTAGCATAGGCCTGTATGCAAAGGCGGTGTTACCACAAACAAAGAACAACTGCCTGCTGCACAACCTTGCCAGGCTGGAGTGGAGTCCGTATTGAATTATAGCCTCTCTCTAGCTAGACTACAGGCATACACTAGCTGGGCCTAGCTTTTTAGAGCTGATGAAAGTAGGTTCTGAATGCAAATACTGAATTGGCGAATGTTTGCATAGTTATTCAGTACCTCTGTCAATATCAACAATGATTTTATTTCATTAAATAATTTAATTCTTAAACTTTTTTGCAGATGTTTCAGCATGAAAATAAATAAAAAACAGCAACCTCAGAATTTAAAGCGTTATAAAAAGTCTGTCATCAAGCTGCTAGAAAAGAATGACAAGGACGACCAAACAGAGTCAAACCTACGTGACCCTAGGCTCAGGAAAAAGGTTGGCAAGTCTCGGAAAGACAAGAGAAGAGAGGCAAAGAAATTGAAGAAAGCTAAAATCCATGCATTCCACTCAAAACACAAGGTACAGTATGTATTTTGAAATTCACTGCATTATTTCAATTGGATATTTCTTGGCTGAGATAAACAGAATATAATATGTATGTTTTGTTTTTTGAGAAATTTAATATGGTATGGGCATTTTCAGGTACATGTTTGAAAGGTCTTTAGAGCCCATCAATAACAAATATTGATAAGTTTAAAACATTTGAGTCAAAAAAGTCAAGAACATTAATTTTTCTACAGATACAATCAACTGAGAAGAAGTCTGAAGAATTGCAAAGTATAAAGAAGAAGGGGAAGAAAAAAAAGGAATCAGGCTCAAAAGATTTAAACAGTAAAAAGAAGGTGAGTTGAGTTGTCTATATATAGTGAATATGAGAATACATTTTTCAACCATTCTATTAACTTTTTTTTTAAATGTGACCAAGAATATAAGCATTAGTACATTAGTCTTAAGATACAAACCTTTCGAACAATGCTGATATTTTGATGTCACACTTGACAATGGTGTCATGGAAATATTGCTATAGAATACATCATTGCATTGATTTATAACTGATTATCCTCCAGGAAAAAGCAGAACTCTTGAAGAGAACACATCTGCTTGAGCAAAATAAAAAAGAAGAAATGTTAATTAAAAAGCTTGAAAAATCTTTGAAGTTCAGAAAGAAAAAGAAAACAAAAGAAAAGCTGTTACCAATGGTCTTCAAGCAAGATGGCTTAGATTGTATCCTTTTTATGTGTGTTGATTACTTTCATTGTTTATAAAAATAATTATTATTAATAATATTAAAATATAGTAATATGATATAGACATTTATGATGCTAAAATATAGTTACTGTAAATAAATATAATTATTCCTTAACTCTATACTGTAGATCTTCTTGATGTGTGTGATTCAGAAAAAATGAAATCATTTGAAGAAAGTGATTTAGAATCTGATGATGAAATGGATGATGAATGTGTTCTCCAGTCATTGGATCAATCAGATGATGACTCGAATGATGAACATAATTTTCTAGATGAGTCCCTTGAAAAAGACTCAAAAAGAATAAAGAAAAACAAGCAACTTGTAAAAAATTTAGAATATAAAGAATCGGAAAAAACTGATAAAACATCATCTGATGAGATCACAGATGATGAATTTGATTTCAGTGACAATGATGACACAGAACATGTTAATGATTGTGCTGATGAGGATGTAGAGCATCTGAAATCCTTACCGAAAATGGATCCATACGGAAATGTAATTGGGGAAACAAAAAGTACTAAGGTGGCTAGTGGAACATACATCCCTCCACAAAAACGGGCCCAACTGATGGGAGAGAGTAGTCAGAAAAAACTTGAGCTTGAAAAGTTACGGAAGCAGGTGAAAGGGTTGATTAACAGGCAAGTAATTTTATAAATAATCTAATATATTAATTTATTACATTGAATTACATTTTTTTCATGTTTATGGAAATCATGAAGAGGAAAGGGACAAAAAGAGTTTATTTTTTATTTAGCCTTTAGTTTTACAGTAAATGTTTTTTATCTATTGTGTAGAATATGTAGCTACAGAACTTGGTGATTATCTTCAATAAGGAGAGTAACATCGTGAGATTGAAAGGAGATCACCAACGACCACTAAGCCATGACTTTGCTTTTATTTAGGTATAATTTTTTTAGTAGGTTGCCATTGAAATAGAAGGGATCAGTGGTAATTAACATGGAATCTAATAGATAATTTTTTTTTTTTTTTTTTTAGGTTAAGTGAAGCAAATTTGCAGTGGATCTGCTCCCAAGTTGAAGACTTGTACCTAAAAAATAGTCGTAATGGTATGTTTCTGAACTTTGTTTGCCCGTCCTCTTTCCATTTTTAGATATGTAGTGTACAGCATTTAACTTTTCTTTTCCATTTTTAGATATATAGTGTACATCATTAAACTTTTCTTGATTTTTTTTAGATATGAATGAGACATTAACCGGCATAATTCTAGAGGCTTGTGTAACGCCCTCTCTCACTCCGGAACGCCTTGTGTTAGAGCATGTTTTATTAGTGGCCATATTACACTCCAGTGTTGGCAGTGAAGTTGGTAAGTTTTGTATCTTTATTATAGTATTAATTTAAAAATGTTATTACCATATGTATTGCTGATGTAGTATTTATGTATTCTTTTTATTTTGTTTGTATATTCAGTTTATAATGTGCATGTTCTATGTCATCAGGTATTTCCTGGAAACTATATTATTCACATTTTCAACTAATTTATTTTACCAGGTGCTCATTTTATTACCAGTGTTGCCAGACAGTTTTCAACTTTATATAGTAGTGGTGGTAACTATGGAATTGGGAAGCAATGTGACAATGTACTTTTGGTTGTAAGTCACCTGTGTAATTTCAAGGTTAGTATGATCTCAATTGTAAATTATATTCAGTTTGTCACTTCTGAAGAGGGTGAAGTTATGTGCAATGCTACTGCAGGGGTCCCAAGTTGAGAGAAATCTTTTCTGGAAGCTTTGTTTAAACAGCCTTTCTTAGCAAATCTAGTTTTGTTTTGCTGCTTATGGTGATACCAATCGACACTGACTTCTGTGAGACAAGTGCTAATAAAGGGGTAATACAGTTGTAAGAACTTGCAGATGTAGTAATGAATTTGCGGGAGATGGGTTATTTTCCGGGAGATTTTTGTTTGCTTACGGGAGTGCGGGAGGCTGTCCCGATTTCCAGGGAACTCCCATGAATTGCGAGACACTTGGGACCACTGCTACTGATAAAGAAAGATAAACTCCCTGTTACCATACCAACAAATCCTTGCTAAATACCTTAAGAGTGTACAGACCTTTGCAGTGGCGGATCTAAGATTTAGCAATGGGGGGTGAATAATGCGATTTTGCGAAGCACCAAGCGCGAGGGGTGGGGGGATTCATTTATGCAGTTCATTGGGACGTGTTCCACTGTCCCCCAGTGATCATGGGTTTTGGGAGGGCCGCCCCTTCCAATTGAGATTTGTTCGGAATTACTAAACAGATAGACGATCATGGATGACATCTGAAAGCTTAAAATAGAAAGTGTATGCTTTAAGGGAGTAGCCTACTACACGTAACATCACAAGACGAGTGACCATATTTTTTTACATGGTCACCGAAGTGGGGTGGCTAGCGACCCTATTCATCCCCCCTAGATCTGCCACTGCTCTGCAATGTATGTATTTCTTACCTGGATTTTTTTTTTTCTTTTAGGTTGTTCACTGCACATTCATGTATGACATCATTAAGAAACTTGTGAAGTCATTTACAGAGAGAGATATTGAAATGCTGCTCCTCGTCATCAGAAGTTAGTATAACAATGCTTATCTATTTAACTATACTTTTGATTATTTATTTTTTACTGAGATTAATATGGTTTCAAAAGAGGAAAACTATAATTGCCGGTACAGAAAGTACCATGGAGTTGAAAATCTGCAATAACAACACAAAATATTTCTATTACCTTCTCATTACAAGGTTTTTTTAAAATTAATTTTCCAAGTTTTACCAATGATTTTACCAATATTTCCTATTTTCCTAGGTTGTGGGATGAGTTTACGTAAAGATGATCCAACTGCTCTCAAAGATATAATCTTAGAGATAACGACTCAAGCCAACTCCTGTTCACAAGAATTCAAAGAACAGTAAGTTTTTGGAATGAGTTTGCATTTCAATTATGGTCACACCATTGTTATTCAGGTTCCACATTGAGGGCAGTACATTCTCTAAATGTGTGTGTGCACTTTGGCATTATTAAAGAGATCAGTACAAAAAGATTTTTCTTTTTGGGTTTTATTTCTTACCCTTGTGTCTATCAGATCCAGAGTAAAGTTCATGTTGGAGATCCTGACTGCTGTACGTAACAACAATCTTCGTAAGATACCAGGCTACGATGCAGAGCATCTAGAGCACCTTAAGAAGCTCTTAAAAGGCATTGGAAAAGGTATCAAACAACAACATAATTCTTCATTTTGTATATAAATTGCAGTGTCTATCCAATGCTGAAAATATCACTGCTCCTTGATATCTTCTATTATCTTCTATTATCAACATGAAAATGTAATTTACATTTTCTTTAAGGATCGTCTGCAGAGAATATGTTGACTATATCATTAGAAGACTTGTTATCAGCTGATGTGAATGGTCGCTGGTGGGTGGTCGGTTCCGCTTGGACGGGTCGCCAGTCGTCACATGACCAAAACTCTAGCACAGATGTCATTAACAAGGAAGTCAACCAGATGAGCTCAAAGATTATGGAGTTGTCTAGACAACAGAGAATGAACACCGACGTCAGAAAGACGATCTTTGCTGTAATAATGACTGCGGAGGTATGATAAATATTGGCAGGACTTCATACTCTCACTATAGTAAAATGTGTACTACTTTTAGTCTTTGTATGTAAAGCCCTGTCCAAAGACAAAAGCATGTGACATACCTAAATATGGTCATGATGACATCAAATCATGACTATATATGGGCATACTTCAGCTTTAGCTGCATCACAGCTATTCCGAGGATGTAATGATCAGGATGTTTACATTTCCCCAACAAACATAGAAGCATGGATCTAGAGTTAAAATTACGGGATGCATACAAACTTTAAACTCTAATTTTAAATCATAAAAACAGAATAAACAAATTTAAATACTCTTTTTATTTTACTTTTTTAAACACTAGGCCTACTAATTTTTGAAGAAAATATTTGATTTTTGTCATTTCATAAATAAAATTATGTAGTTTAAATATTGATTTGTACTACTGGGTGAATAATTAAAAATTTTGTTATCATTGAAGAATATGAATCCAATGTTTAAATAGTTTTATAATATATTTTTTTTTAATGACACACAAACAGAAAGCATATTTCCATTTGTAGGGATATTAATCATTGTGTGTTGCTTTTTGTAGGACTATGTTGATTCTTTTGAGAAGCTGCTTAGACTTGGATTGAAATCTGGACAAGAGCGGGAAATTGTGCATGTTATAGTTGACTGTTGTCTCCAGGAACGAGTCTTCAACCCTTATTATGCGCACCTGGCTGCCAAGTTCTCTCTTTACGACAGGAAATATAGAGTATGCACTGTTGTGTTTGCTTTTGTGAACTCTCCATATTGTAAATAGCAGAGAAAAACATGTTGATTCATTGTACAGTATTATCTTCAGTCCTTTAAGTGTACATTTGAACTTGCCTAAGTCAAATCCAAAATGCCATTGGAATACTGTTCGACTTACAGATTGTTAATTAGTGGAAAACCATAGAGATATAATAAGAATACTAGAGCGCTAACTACAATGTATTCGATGTTCGAAATACGCAGACCTGTGTGTGTGTACCATCCAAGATGGCTACCATAGATTTAGCCAATCAAATTTCCCCTAAGCGCCATCGTTTGCAATTGCGCCCTCAATTTACACAGAAAGTTCAGTACAGCGAGTTACCCGTTTGTCTGAAACTCGAGCGTTGCGGTGTATGGGTGTAATGTACAGGATTTAAATTTTTTTTAAATATTTGAATAAGATTCTCTACTTGGCCTCTTTTTGGCTACGACAGTCTAATAATTTGTCATTATCAATACTAATTATCATTAATGAAATAATATTCAGTCAGAGGACTTATTTATGGTAATAATATGTATAGTAAGCCTGAAGGTGGTGCTTTCCTACGGCAGCAATCTTGGATGGTACACGTACACAACTCTGCATTGCTCCGCCATCTTGTCAGCACTCTAGTTGTTTAATAGCTCTATGTGGAAAACACAACAATTTGGCATGTAAAATAAGATCGATTTAGAAATTATTTGACTCGATTACAGTCAGGCAAGTTTAACTGTATACAGTAATCTGTCAATTTTTTTTTTCAGATGGGACTTCAGTTTGCATTTTGGGACAAATTTAAAATGTTGGAACAACAGTCAACACATGCTACCAACAACTTGGCCTTACTCATTGTCCACCTGCTTGTTGCCAAGGCAATGTCCATTTCAGTTTTGAAGGTAAATAAAGCACCCATTGGAATAATGCTGGGGCTGCAGACATAGCTTTAGTGATTAAAACAAATATACAAGAAGTTATTTTTTAATAAATTTAATACATCAAATTCTTTTATATTGCTGTGATGTGCCATGTGTCCATTATAAATACACAATTATGTTGTGTTTATCATAAACTAGTTTTTAATAATTTTGTTTTTGCAATGCTTAGTGCAAAACACAAATGCAGATTTGTTTTATTTATCTGTAAGAAAAATATTAAATAATATTTTGAATAGTAATTGTTATTGTCGTGATGGAATAGATAATAACTAGAATTGCGTCTGGAGAAACATGTATAGGTGTAATTTTTGCCCTACCTGACGTGGAAATGTACTGAATACTCAGTACGTGTATATGGTAGGGCAAAAATTACACCTATACTAATATTTTGAATCTTATTTTATTTGAAGGTGGTTGAATTCAGTGAGATGGATAAACCAATGGTCAGATTCCTCCGTAAAATATTGACGTCTCTCTTAATGGAAAACTCGGACGAAACCATCACAACTGTACTTGGCAGTCTCACAGCCTTTCCCAAATTTAACTTGTTACGGGAAGGCCTCCGGATATTTCTCTTCCATTTCTTAAGAAAAGGAAGAGAGAAGAATATCCAAGATGATGTCATGTGGCAAAAAATGAAAATTGCAGAACAAGCCTTATTAGGAAATGCTATGAATATCCAACTTTAATAATAAAACAAAATCTCTCAAAACATATTTGTCTCATGTCATATTATTTATTTTACTGTCATGTTAAATAATAAAGAATAATAATGATATACGTATTTTCATATTATAAATCAAGATGGGGAAAATGGCTACAAGGTTATAGATATCTCAGAAAAGAATAATTTCTAATATATCATATGTCATATTTTCTCAAGGTAACATTTTCTATCAAGTTATTTTAAATATTTTGCTGATTCATTATGAATAACATGGTGTATATGATCACAACCTACAAGAACTCCTGCATTGCCAGAATGCGTATGCTAATATTTAAACAATAGTTTTTCATTTTAATTTATTGCTTTTGAAGAAATTAATCTAAATGATAATTGATTGGTAAAATAATGAAAAATTAATTGTACCTAAAATCTTTATCACCCCACATCACTTTCGATGACAAAATTCTTCATTAACATATAGAAATTGCATAAGTAAACATTTTAAATAAGTACATCAATGCGGCAAGTTGTGTTTTGATTTGGTGATTTACCAGAATAGTGTCCAAATTACTCGACTAGTCATCATCGACTAGTCAACCATATCAAAGTATTGTTCCCATCTCAGCCAAGTGTACAAATAAGTACATTTTGTAGGCCTATGATAAACTAATAAGTATTAATTCTACATTCAGTATATCCTACTGTCATTACAAACCCTCATTTTCAGTATGTCCATGCACAGTACTTGGCTATTGTAGTTACAGTATGTAGGATGGAAGCCTATACTTCAAAAGAACAGTGTTGACAATGTATTAATACACTATAGAAGTATTCAATGTATTGCCCATGTACATACAATGGAAGAATGTATGTTGTCAATATAGGCCTATTATATAATGCAGTATATAAATTGTCTCGCATATGATTCCCCAGTACACTACATAAATAGTTTTCTTCATTGTTAACTCCAATGCGAATAAAGCTATGTTTTGAGTATAAATACACTAGTAGGACTTGCCTAATATTCCAAATGATATCTCACTAAACTTTGTACATTCAAATTATATAATTACATTCTTAATTATATACCCAGGATATACATAAGTACAGTTTTACCACTGACTTTTTTTTATATATGTTCAAAGTATATAATTATAAGTAGTCTTATCAGGTGTATGCAAGTACATCAGTGTCTGGATATCTCATATTATTTACAAAAATCAATGATTTGCTGAAAAAAAAAAATCCACCTTATATATAAACGAAATGATAAAAATAAAATATTTTATGTGGAGTATATAAATAATATAATCATTTTCTAAGAGAATCCCCACAATTAAATACCAAAATGATATATACTTTATAGAGCCTGCTCAATTTCCATTTATATAACCTTTAGTGTTATATAAGTATAACTACATGATTCTTTATACATTTAATCATTGCTAAATCTAATTTTTGATTTTTTTTTCCCCAGATGTTGCTCATTTGATTATATCATTTTAATATAAGTTATTTTGTTAAAAAAATAAAATAAACTAATTACAGTATCATTTCAATAAGATTTTATTTTCTCAACACATTTTAAATGTGTGGTTGGGGTGTGATATATCTAATGCAATATTTCAATGTCACAAATGTGCATGTCCATTTTAAAACAAGCACATCAAGAGATTGCTTCAGAACATAAATTAACTTCACTTACACTCACAGAGATTTGCAGGTGGGGTTCCAAAAAGGGCAATTGAGTATGGTGATTAATACTGTAGTTGCATTTTAATGATTTAGGAGGATTGTTTAGTTATATTTTCAGAGCACTTTGCCATTATTTTAATGCAACTTGCAAGTTAAGGATAGGATTGGATTAGATTGAGTCCTATTTAGAATTCAAATATACGAATACAACATGATTAGATGTGAAGCAGTGAATTCTACTTTCCAAGGTGTTGGATGATTAGGAATACAGTACCTTGCAATCCGAATTGGAGGGAGGTAGTTCCAGTTATCCAAGGTAAGTAAAATTCACTGCTTTATTGAAATAATACCATGTTGTATTTGTTTTTCTATAAATATTAAACTTTTAAATATCTATCCACTCCAAGAACTGGATGCCAAACCCCTCACCCCCAGTCCTTTCTTACAATGAGACTGCACTACAGCATTTTTTACATAAATGTAATAGATTTTTTTTGTATATAGATATTCCATGATTTATATTCATAATTTATATACTGTAATTATTTTTCACAACTTAACAACATAATTCTTTTAGAAAGCAAGTTTGTATTCATAGAATTTTGTATATTAGTTTTTCACTTTTTCCAAATATATACATCTTTTAGCTCTCCACAAGCATTGCAAAAATAAACCAAAATTGGCAGTTCCAATACAGTACTATTATGAAGTAGTACTTTAATTTTTCTGGAGGTGATTTTGTTACTAAAACCTAAGAATTTATTCAATATTGCTCTATTCTTTGTTGATACACTTTAGAATGTTGATAAATAATAAAGTACTTCTTCAGGAGAGGACTGCAAATATTCCAGGCATCTCAACAGCCACCTCTATGTATTGTTACCGGCAAACATCTGCAACAAAATTATAGAAATGTCTTAGATGGGTGGATAAAGCAAAGAGAATAATAGCATGATTATACCAACATGGAGAACACTCAGCAAAGCAAGCACATGTGGCAAAGACAAGGCAAACCAGTCACTCCTCGCAAAAATCAATTTTCAGCTATACATGGTTAAAAGTAATGGGAGCTATAAAATGGTAAAAGAATCATTTAAACCCGACATTTCGTTGTGAAGTTGCAAGACTATAAACATACAGCTCTTTAAAGAATAATAGTTGAGAAATCAGCCTTCAAAGTTAATGATTTTGGGCATCTCTCGGGCAGAAACCATCAACAAATTGTTAAAAATTGTTGTTTCAACATTGAAAATTGGGAAAATAACATAGCATGATGTATAGATATATAAATCTTAGTTTAGTGCAATAAAATAGATTTCAAAAATCGTCGTACACATCACGAACTAACACAATCAAAGTAGATTGTGTTAGTTCGTGATGTCACAGTAGCGCGTCAAAATGAGCGAGTATTGGTTGTCAAGCAATTTTGTATTCTTTACCACACAAAAAGTCCTTAACAACAACAGCGCGTATTTTGACGTGCTTTCTTGATTTTACGAACTAACACAATCTACTTTGATTGTGTTAGTTCGTGATGTGAGCGACGAAATGTTGGCATTCCAGCATATTTTGGACATTATCTCTAAAAAAAAACATGATTTGCGATGAGTGACTGGTTTGACTTGTCTTTGTCACGTATACAATATTCAAAAATATATACTGCTTACATAGTCTTAATTGAATTCCAACATTGAATAGTAATTAAATATATCACATAAATATGTCAACATCAAAAGAATTCTGTTATTGTACATAGACAGTACATATTTGTTTGTTGGAGTCATCATGAGGTGAACTGAACAAAAATGAAGCCGAGGCACTTTTAAAAGCAGGGAGCAGTGTTTGTCATTCTGCATGTGACATTTAGGGTATTTAGGATTGTGCATTGACTAATAGTCATTACTTGCTTGAGGGAGGAGGTGTAAGAGGGAAGGGGTGGAGAAAAACGATTAAAAAGAGCAACCATTGATTACTAAAAAAAAATGAAGGTAATCTTGAAATACATATCCAAGTGCGCTTTGAAGAAATTAACTTTTATAATTGAAATCTATATATTAAAAATCACTACACGGTAATTTTCATAAAGCAGTATTTTGTTAAAATTAGGTTTTGGTTGGTTAAAGATTTTAGTATACCAGTGTGAAATGTATAAAGCCCACAGCCAATGGTCAAATTTATAAATCGTGACTTTCACCCATTCCCACTTACTACACTATATTTTCAGAATCGAATTATTTACATCAACACATGCTGACCTGTCTAAACTTTGACACACTTCCACTTGTTTGAATGTCCTGTAGTTCCTCCGTTCTGGGATTTCGATATGCAATGAATTTTCCAGTCCGGCCTGATGACTTTTTAGCAGGCTGGGGAGCAACCGTTGCCTGAGGTATAGTAGATGATCGTCCCGATAAAACAGATGTTTCGCTTTTTAAATTGTCTTCTGGTTTGTCAATGATGATGACATTTGGGTGTACAATTGCCTCTTTTGGGGTTTTCTTTTCAGCATCTCCATTTTCTTGAATAACATTTATGTTCTCAGTTGGCTTGACAGCCTCTGATGGTTTGACAGTCTCAGATGGTTTGATAGCTGGTGGTTGTTGGGGTTCAGGATTTGACTCTGAGCGCTTTCTCATTTCATACCCCGCCATGTTTGATGACTGTGATGCATCACTCTCAGAACGTGGTTTCCTCGCTGCAGAAAAGATATACGAGTGCTTCATTGGTTTTGGTTTAGGTTTTAAGGAACGGAAGGCTGAAGCTAAATCTTTTTCGGTCTCAGGAGACCGTAGTTTCTTGGAATCTTCTGAATGAGGTTCAGACTTCTTTAATTCTTGCAAATCATGAGGTTTTGGAGGTTTTGTATCTTCTTTGTGTATCATTGTTTCCGCTGGGACCGGAGTGATTGCGTGACTATCAGGTTGCATTGCAACGGGAATTTGCGGCATTTTCATCATTCCCTGAGATTGTAGTAACATTTGTTGCTGTATGAGCTGTTGCATTTGTTGCATCTGTTGTGTTTGAAGTGCCAACATGTCCTGGGCTGAAAGAGAGGGGGCACCAGCTTGAGCCTTCTGTTGTTCCAGCATATTCTGTTGACTGTTGATCATCTGTTGTTGGAGAGTTGCAAACTGCTGCTGTAAAGTTTCATATTTGTCTTTAAGTTCTTTCATTTGGATTTCGGTTTCATTCGTTTTCTGAGTAACGGGGATGACATCACCATTTGTGATGTTAGACACTTCACTAGACTCACCATTAAGTTGCTTTATTTGATCAATTCTTTCACCATCTTCCTTTTGTTCCTCTTTAATGTCTTCCTTAACTTCCTCTGTAAGCTGTTTTGAAGTTTCAACATCAAGACTGTTTACAATACCAGTACCGGAAATCTCATTAATCTCAACATCACTGTTCTCAACAATTTTCTCATTTTCGCTGACCTCTTTATCATCTTCCTTCGTAGAACTTTCCTCTTGAATCGCAACCGCATTTTCATCATCTGCATTAAGCTTCAATGTAGCATCCTCCAAACCAACGTCTACTTTCTTGTCGTCATCTTGGCTAGGAATGTTCTCAATGCCATCTACAGTAACTTCTATACTTTCAGCATCCTCTTTGACAGCTTTGTCATTAATGAGCTCAGAGGATAATGTATCCACCTCTTCTTTTTTTAACTCTTCATCTTTGGCCACTGTGTAGCAAGAAAATATATTAGTAACAAATAAACATATGCATGCTAAAATTGCTGTTGATCCAGATGTTATTAAAAATATAACAAATTACAGATACACTATCTGTTAATAAACGCTTAAAATTTCAATGAAAGAATTGAATAACACATTTAATTTTAAAGATCAGGTGAAGCACTGCTGGCAAATGCTTGTGTAATAAATTTAGTGAGTCAATAATGTGTCATTAAAGTGCCACCTTTGTTTTATATTATACAGTACATATCTGACACAGCTTTACTTACTATCATGAACGTTGGCCAATTTTTTTTTAAATTAATTTTTTGTAAATATTTCAAACCTAAATACCAATTTTTAAAAAACATGCAGAAAGTAAACTATAGGAAACACAAATTTTAAAAATATGTATGAGAAATGGAAAAAAATAAACATATCTTACAAAAAAAATGTAAAATAAATGCTTCCCAAAGAGCAATCCAAGCCAACCAAGAGATAACATTTCAAAGTGCAAAAGTTGTAAACACTAGATGGCAATCAAGCATGCAAAGCCACAAGCCCCTCAGAACAGCACCCACGCATGTAAATTAGCAAATTATAACAACCAGGCTAACGGTGAATCCCTAAGGAAGTTGATGACCCGCTGTATTGAGTGCAACAATTGTAACTTGTATACTCAAATAGATTAAACTTCTATGACTCTCATATCCTGCTTCTCTCACCATCCCCCACACACATCCTTGCAACCCTTAAACCCCTCCACCTTTTTTGAGACTCCGCCCAATGTAGGCATTTAAATCAACACCCATGCAAGCAGAGTAGCAGATTAATGCAATGATAATCAAACTATAAATATAGAGAAATCAAGAGCTGAAAATAGTTGTGGAACACTAGGTGCTGAAGTTCTACTTCTGAAGCATTCTCAGCAAATACATCAGATATGAAGGTTGATACACTATGTATGTTGTCATGATCAAACCATGAACAATAACAAAATCAAGATATGAATATGTTAAAATGTTTCGGTCATCCTCTTCAGACACACAGTCAATAAAAAAAAAAAACTGTATATAGAAGCGTATGTTGAAAGTTTGCCGCAGCAGGTCAGGCTTGACTCTCAACCATGAGGTCAGGGGTCCAAAACTCTCGCTGTGGAAGTTGCTTAAGAGTCCTTAGTCAAGGCACTATATCTGCATTTGTCTCTCTCTCTCTATCCATGAAAATAAATGGGAACCAGCATATGCTGGGAGAAAGAGTGGTGATCCATTCAAAGCATTCCACAGTCTGGCCTTAACTCTGAAGTTAACACTGAAAGAGGGATGGGAAAACTCTGGACCTGTACAGGTTCGACTACCTTTACATTTACATATATATAAATGCTGCATATTCTTAATAAATTTAATATAGGAGGGAATGGTATCTTGAGTAATGCAATGACTGTTAAAATGGAACCATATAAATGATGACTGATTCATTGATAACTACGGTACTTTATTTTATTTGCCATTAAATACCATTGATTTTAATTGAATGTAAAAAATTTGAATACCAAGAATACAGATAGAAGTGAAAAGGGGAAATTTGAAAATTAAAGCCTCAATACACTTAACAATAAAAATAATTAAATGCTAGGAGAAATTTAAGAAAAGTAGATTTAAGTAAATGAAAGTATTAATTGTATTAAAACTGATATTAATATGGAACAATGCCCAGGAGTAATAACGATTTGAATGCATTTATTATTTCTTCAAACTGTGAAAAATGCAATAGAGTATAAATACTAAAACTATTTGATTGTTGTTATTGTTAGTTTCAACATGCTGTATACTGAATGAAAAATGTTTTGTAAATCCAAACAAGCAGAGCTATTATTTCCCAAGATGTCCAAAAACCAGTTAAAATCAAAAGGTGTTAAAAATGGAAAAATGATGAAGTGATAGAGTATATATAAAACTGCAAACCTTGTTTAGCGAATTTGTGAAGAGAACCCAGATTATTAGTGTTAGCGTCCGTTTGTGCAGGTGTTTGTATTAGTGTACCCTGTTCCATTTCATCTGTGTTAGCTGCAACCGCTGCACTAAGGTTAGGAGGTCGGCAAGGCCTTGGGGGAGCAGTTGGTTTGGGTGAGGAAGTGGTTGGTGTTACCATAGCTACAGGCTGACCATTGGCAGTAAACCTTTCAACCTGCTGCGTAGTCTGCATTGAGACTCTAGGCCTGGGAACTGGTTTTTTACTAGCACCCTTAGGTGGTAATTTGGGAGGGGTTTGTGGCCAAAGTTGAGGCTTTGGAGGCCTGGGCGGTTTGAAATTCTGTACAATTTTAACATTGCAATATGCTCCACTGTCTGTATTTAGGGTTGAACAGCCTTCATCACCTGTGAAGGGAACTTTTAGTTTTAGAATATTATACAACAAAAATCTACGGCATGGCAGTAACACTTATTGCAAGAGAATCCGTGGTACAAATATAGAAAGCATACAATAGTAATGGAAGCGGAAGCAAAGCATTACGAAATTTAAAATATATATGATCATACTATGTAAGGAAAACATACTATGTCATGTGGAATGTTACAGTGCATCATAAAAAAAAAGGAGTGCGTCATACTAGTTTTGTTTATTAAGAGGAAGGCTAAATCTGAAATAATCTTATTGAAAGGAAGAACGCTCAAGAAGACTCTTACTATTTGAGGTGTTAGAGGGAGCCGTCACTGCTAGGTCATCACTAGCATTAGAAGCAGAGGAAGAAACCGTCACCATCTTACTATCAGAAGAGCCTACAGAAAGTTCTCGGGTTAGTACATTATCTGTTTGAAAATTAAGGTCTGATTGGTCTCCATTTGTTTCAACAGGAGAACCTGACTCTTGTAATTCACCTGCTTCCAATTCTGCAGCACATGCAACAGCACCCTCTGGAGTTTGTGGTCTGTGTAGTATGCACTCATGCTCTCCTGTTTCTTGGTTGCAAGTACACTCAACATGTCGCTGCCCACTTGCGATAGCTCCTACATCTACCACTGCTAATTATGGAGAAAAAAAAATTACATAAATCAATACTCCAAAAATGAAAATATTTCACACAAACAATAAACCTTTACTTGTTATTAGAAAAAATAATAATAATAATATGAAACAATAATATCACTCATTGTTAACTGTATGGAAGCCTACCAGAAACTGAAAAGTTATATTCCTGCTACGGTAATAGATATAAAATAAAATGTTGGGACATAAAACAAATAAAATTCCTTATTAATTATTTTTTTTTTATCCAGGGTACTGAAGACAACCGTCAATATACTCTCTCATCCTCATTGTTCACATCAAAATTGTCTTCCCAAAATAGATTTTTCAACAATTTAATATAATTTATTTAATTATCATACCTTGGTGATTTTCTGCTTCATCATCCTCAATATCCGAATTTTGTGATGAGCATACGCTTTGGTCTGGAAAAAAAAACAATAAAGTCAGATATAAATATAAGAAATCACATCAAGTTTTTTTTCACCATTTCAAATAAAGCATACTGAAGAAAAATGAGTAAAATTAGAATCTTCCAAGTGTGAATAGACACTGTATGATAAGAAAAATGAATTTAAGTACAATTTGCTTTCAAAAATCTAAATGAATAGCACACTTAGCGATAACACAAAAATATTACTCTATCTAAAATATGAAAATATATGACCATAACCATTACCATTATAATAATATTATTATCACTTTGATAACTTGAATAGTAATTTTATGTGAATATTTTAATATCAAAAACTATAACAATATTAATAATGCTGACAATAAAAAAAAAACATTAATATTAATACCAACATTAAATAACAATAAACCTTTTACCAGAGTTGTGCTTCTACAGGTAAGTTTGTTTCCTATCATCAGTCTAATTATAATGTAATCTGTTGATGGGCAGATCCACTTTTCCAACTGATGTAGCATAACAATTAGTAAGGGTTAATATGCAATATTATATGATACTAAAGATGGCAGCTGGAAACATGCAACAGACTATAAGCCATGCAAAATATAATCACATGCTGTAAGTTAAAATAACTGTCGCAGGTGTTCAAGTGACATTAGCACATGTTAGAGTGACAGTTGATATGTTCATGTTATAATTACCTATGTGACCTTGACAGTTGTTCATGTGGCAGTTCTTCAATTGAACATTGCACATGATTTTGTGACATTTTGCATGTGTTTATAAGTGACAGTCACACAGGTTCATGTGACAGGCATGTATGTTCATATATTCATATACATGTTCAAGTGCCAGTCACACATGCTCAAGTGACAGTCTCAAATGATAGTGACACATGTCACATGTCATACGTAACAGTTCATGTGACAGTCATACATGTTCATGTGACAGATGCATGTGATCACAAAGCATCTGAATGTGTTCAAGTCATAGTCACATATTATTACATACATGACATTTGTACACATTCAGGTGACAGTCACTCCCATGACATTCACATACAGTCACGCGTACACAATATCAACAGTCAGCCAGCTGGCATACCTACTATGAGGCGTGAGATGCATCACAGTAAATCATTGCATGTAAACATTTCAGGATATTTGCATCCCTAAAGCCAGGCACACACAGCACCCGACAGTCATCGACCGAAGTGATTCTATGAAGAATGCAACGTGACGATGCACGCGCAACAGATAATTTTTAATGATGATCCATTCAGACTGCAACCGGCAATCAGCAGACGGCATCACATTGTCTAAGCTCTCACAGGGAGTGGATTTGGACCATAAGACACTGATTGTCCACCTTAACACGCATAATGCATACTTGAACATGTAGGACTGCCACTTTCAATGGCCATGTTTGGGTTTGTTAGCTTGCCCTCAACCAATCACTTACCATCCGTTTCTTCTTCAGGAGGGGGCTCATCTGGAGGAGGGGGAGCAATAAATGTAGGCCGATCCACCTTTAATTCGGGAGATGTAGTGGGGGTCGGTAAGATAAATTGTGCTGTATCTGAAATGTGAGCGTTGTGTAAAGCTGTACTATATTATTTAAACTGAACACGCTTTCTAGACTAAAAAAAAAAATCTGTTCAACAAGGTAGGCTAACATTTTTCTTAGTCAAATTATCAGATGAATGATTATACATGAAATGATGGGTGAATAATAAGAACAGTTATGAGAAATGTACATGCTTATGAATCACACAAAGTAATATTATTTCTTAGAATACTTCTATGCGACAGACTATCAAAAAACTTCAGGATTGCTATGCAGATAGCATGCAAAGCTTTGCACTCATAAAGCAATACATGACAATTAGCATTTCAGGTGCATGGGGATATGTCAAATGGCTGTGTGTAGGGTGGGTGTGTAGGGTGTGCATGTTGACAGGTGATTTATGAGGGTGTGTGCATACTGATGGGGGAACCTATGACAGTATGTGTATGCCATCAAATACAATCACACACTTTGAAGCAAACCTGCTTTATTTAAAATATAATTTGAAGCATGATAAGGGTGAGAAGACATAACATATTCTTACCATCTGCTTCAGGAGGTGGAGGTGGTGGGGATAAGGGGCGTTGAGAGTGTATGCGATTTAAGTTCCCAGGGCTGACAGGTTCCTCATCAGTAGGCTTAGAATGCACCTCAGCCTCAACTGATTCCTCATTTGACACACTGGAATGCGGCATATTATGGTCAGCATCTGGTAATCTCTTTGGGGGATCATCCGTGGTAGGGGATTTCATGCCACCGTCTGGTCTTGGAGGAGCTGGCGCTTTCTTCTTTCTGGATGCAGCTTTTGCTGTTACGGCAGCTGCTTCATTTGGTGTTGGTGGTTTTGGGGCAGCACGCTTTTTTGTGGTCTGAGTTCGTGAGATCTGTGTGTTGTCTTTTAATGGTACTCGGGTGGCTGATATCGTAGCTGGGCGTTGTCTAGTAGGTGACGTTGGACTGGTGACCTCTGGCTTTGCCACTGCTACTGGTGCTTGTTCAACATCAAAACCACTCTGCTGAGAATTACATTTAAAAAAACATTTAATTAAATTAAGAAGGGGACTACAGGGGTGGATTGAGAGATGTCCGAAAGGGGGGGCGCCAAAGTGGGGCCGATCGAGATAACACTAACCTAGGGGGTCGGGGGCATGCCCCCACAAAATGTTTGTGTTCTAGACGCCCGAAAATAAACTTTGAGGCTTTTTCGGCGATCAATTTTTTTCTTTTTCTCTCTTTCTCTTTTTTTCCCTTTTTTTTTTACCTTCAAAGGACAAGAATTTTGTGTATCCAGGGAGGTTGTATATTTATTGGAGTGTTCCTATTATAACATCAAGTGTCCATGTCTGTTAAGACCTTGTTAGTATTAACAGTTTTATTTATTTTATTTTTTTTCAAATTTCAAAATAATAGTAATCCTATGAGCTGGATTATAATGAAAATTGTTGAATGAATGAACAAATACATGTGGTAGAAATGATTATTTTAATTCCATAGGCAATACCTTCTTCTTCCATTTTTGAAAGAAACTTTTCTTTTTCCCGACTAACTCTGGCATAACCGATGGTTCTTGTTTTGGAGCTGAAGTTTAAAATATAGAGATTAAAACATTAATGATGTGAGAATTATTCAAATAATGTTTATTTATATACCGCATTTTCTTAAAAAGCTGATACAATAAAAGTAAGTTCATGCAAACAAAGGAAAAGTAATTAGTAAAATTTATGTAAAACTAAGAGTAAAGTACTGTAAATAATAAGGAAAGTTGAAGATATACTATTAAAACAAAAGTATTAGTTCTTATTTACTATGTTAAACATTTAGATGAAATATTAATTTAAATTAAAAATGTAAACGACAACATATTTAACTTTAACAGATGCTTTAATAATAACAATTTAAATTCTTTGTCTTAACCTTTAAATTAGCTATTAAGAATTAAGGATATTTTTTTCAGATGGTGAATTCCCTATATCATTAAACACCAATCTATTGTTTTTCCATTTCAACAAATTATGAGTACTGTAATCTTTTCTCACTTAAATTTAAATATATTAGCTTTTTTATTGAGAAATGTTATCATTTTACTGTTGTTTTAACCATTTTCCATGATTTTACCAGACAGTATTTTAGTAAAGCAAAAAAAAAAGGGGAAAAAAAAGAAATCCATATAATGACAACAAAATAAATCTATTTAATTCGAAATTAAGGTAAAACTTGTTCGGATGAAAAACATTTAAAAGTAGGCGACTTGTAACTACGGCAGCAATGGATGCGACAGAAAAACACCATTCTGTACTAAAAGTGGCTATCCCACTGTGAAGTAATGTAAAATGTTATTATAGTTAACACAACATAGTATCAAAATACAATACTAAACCATAGTTGAATAATACTCAAGAGAAAAAAAGCATGCTAAAATTAAATGGTATGAAAACAGGCCTTATCAGAAAAAACAAAAGAAAAAAAAAACTAAAAGAGGGATTGTAATGGAAGTGACAAGGCATATATATACTGCATAACTGTACTAAAGCATATCAGCTGCACAAAGTGAAAGAGGGATTGTAATAAATAGAAGAAAGACAGGCTGTAAATTACAAACAAATTAAATGGTATGAAAACTGGTCTTAAAAGAAAACAAAACAAACTAGAAGAGGGATTGTAATGAAAGTAACAGAAATACATACATACAGAACTAAGATCAACTTCACAAAGTGAAAGAGGGATTGTTAATAAATAGAAGAGGAAAGACAGGCTGTGAATTACAAATTAAATGGTATAAAACAGGCCTTATCAGAAACAAAGTAGAGTATTATAAATAAATAGAAGAGGAATGAACAGCACAAACTATAGCAGATCAGATGCCAATTACAAATTCTAAAAATGTAAGCACCAAGAGGCTACTGATGGAGCTTTCTTTGATTTCTCAGGCATGTGAGCCTAGCCTAAAGGTTTTAGTGAAACCACAGACCCTATATACGTGAAACTAAACACTTCAAACTTTAGATTCTATTTTAAGAGATGCTATCACATCTTTGATTAATTAAACATACCAAGAAAACATTCTTCTTTAAACTAACATAATTCACAAAACATATTTATTTTCTATTAGCCAATGAATCATAACAATTTTTCTTATAACAATATTTCAGTTTATATTAAACCAGGTGGTTTTGTAGTTCAATTAATCTGTCAGCCAACTACCCTATAGGGGGCGTTCCGCAAAAGGGCATGACATCATATTTCTAGGCATTAACTACACCACACATAATGGGTCTCGAATGGACCTCCTACTAGGCATATTAAGCTAAATCCTGTACATTTCTACTGGGCATACTATACTTATGTTGAGTCACCATAATGATTTTATTCACATACAATAATATGTGGGAAATATATTTGGTTCAATATGTGATTTATCATATCAATTTATGCAGACATCCAAAGTGTCCTGTAAGTAGTAGGAGTCTCGAAAAATATAAGATTGAACTCCTAGACTCCAGAAAAAGACTCAAAATTTTACAGAAATCAAGAAGTATCACAGATTCGTGCTTACGTTTATCTCATTTCCCATCATTTGTTTACAGGACTTTTGTCTAAATTTATTGTTCACTTACAAATGTCTTCTAATCTGCTCATATATTGATAATGATAATGCACGTAATTATAACAAAGGTTTACTAATCATACTTCACATGTTGGCTGCCTAGATCACATTTTTGACTTTGACCTTACTAGGGTGGGGTTCCAAAGAACTGCTCACAGGAATGAACTTTCTAAACTTTTGACCTCTTGTTTGTGAACTGACAAAAAGCCAATGTAGAGACCATAGCTATTAAACTTTACAGGCATTCCCATTATTAAAATAAGTAATAATTCTGCTTGTACTGACTGGACTTGATATGTTTTCAAAGAATTAATAAGACTTGGTTTGCAGTAGAGCAATTTACAACAGATGCATTCTGTGCAAACGCAAGAAATTCTAGTAACGTTGCTTGTTGAATTAATCGTTCTCGTGTGAAACAAAGGCAGACTGGTGAAGTGGTAAATATGGTAAAATGGCGATATTTTCTTATTTGATGGAATTCACATTAAAATTCACACTTGAACCTTGAACTACGTATACAGTGGTTGCGTACTAACATAAGGATGCTCATAAACTAAAACACAACATTTCATTCACATTCTAAAAAATAGTAAAAATTGCAGCACCTTATACATGTGACCTTTGTACTTTCTGTAGGTTTACGTATCTATACATTAAAATCCATGATTAGATTTTAAAAAGAGTTTTCCACACATTGTTCAGTAAAATTAACACATGTACTAAAATTTTCTGATCGTAATTACTCCACATATTTTCTATTGATTTCGACATCAGCACGTACCCTATTTTAGATATCAATCTCCACATCCATATGGCAATCAAATTATTTATTTTTCATGCAACCGAATTTCCACTGAGCCAGAGAACTTGAATATCTTTAGAAGTCCTTGTTATGAAATAGAAGCAAGATTCATTTCTGATGGCTTGTCCATATGGAGCTATTCACAGTGGCATGAGCTGGTAGTGTGTGGGCCTGCGAATTCTTTGATCTTTATCCGCCGACAGAGCACATTATAAAATCACATATTCAGTTTTAGTACAGCTAGTTGCCATACAATCATGTTACCATGATATTTTAAGTACTGTACATGGAGAATTTTTAGTTAAAAGAGGTTTACAACGGTCACAAATAGCATACAGCATTACATTTTATGTGCCTGATATTGGTCCTTAAGCATGAGAGTATGAGACAGACCCCGAATGTGTGAGACTTGGTAGGCCTGAGTACAGCCAATCACATCAATAAGACCTCAGGATCTTTACGTTCTCAGCATGAATTGATACAGGCCCACCAACATCAACTAGTGCGACTGCTACTTTAAGATACTTGCTTTCCAATCCTAGAGTTCTGCGTTCAAATCCTGGTACACCAGACTTTTAGTATTAAATTTACTTTACTCCATAATAAATTATGAAAAAAATTTAAAAAAAAGAGAAAGTTAATTAACAGCCATATCTGAATGGTTGCAGTCAAGACATTTGCAAGATGGGAAGGTAATGAAAAAGTTAGAATGAATACAGAACACTGACACTACACCGCAGCAAACAGAAACATGAATGAATACAAGTGTGTGATGCAAATAGGAGGGTGCTACTAAACTGTGCAAAGAAATAATAGGGTAGGGAAAAAAATTGTTGTACCTGTCAATATCATCACTCGTACATGATTAGGGACTATGATGAACAATAAACAATGTAATTGTTATGATCATGTAATCAGTTGTGGTATTGATTATTTTTTAATAATACATCCTGATCATTATTATCAGATAGCAATATCATCATTCATAAATATCATCATCATCATCATTATCATCATTAATATTCATGATGGTGAAACTAAAATTTGCCCAATAAAGGTCAGGGCCTTACCTGCCTAGCCACTGATAAATTTTTCTCATGAATGATGAATTTCTGATGTGAAAGAAATTAAATATAATTAATGAACATTTATCATACCTCTAGTATCCACCAACTGGAGTTCATTTATTTCATATGATGTGAGGGACTTGCTTAAATCTAAGTTATCTGAAGGGGACTTGGGAAGTCGCAAGGTGTGGTGCTGAGGGTCCACTCCCTTCTCTTCACATATCTGGGGCAGAAGATCTGCCAGGGTTCGGTCTGGATTGATGCGTAGTACCATCTTGTGTTTGGTTCCATAGTTGACAGTAAGTCTAATCGTTTTCTAGATTTTTATGGAACAATAAAATTAGCATTAAATATTGTGGCATTCTAGATGTAGGGCCAAATATTATGAGAAGAAATAAAGAAAAAATAAGAGGGAAAGGAAAGAAAAAAGAAAGAAGAAATGAAAGGGTGAAAAAAAGAAGAAAAGAGAAACAGAGACAGGGGTAAAGAGGGTATGAAAAAAATGAAGGAAATAGTGGAAATGGGAAGGAAAAAAGGCGGAGAACAGTAGGAGAGAAAATGGAGAATGAGAAGAGGACAAGAGAAGAAAAGAAACATAGAAGTGAGAAAGAAGCAGAAAGAAGCAACATAGAAAAAGAAGAAAGTGATAATTAATAATTCTAAAAGAATACTGCTAATAAAAGACAGATTTCAGTTTAATAAACTAGGTTGACAATACCTGAAATCCTATCATTCATAATAACAATAGAGGCATTATCATAATTCACCTGTCTATGTTATAATAATACCTGAAGAGTAAGTAAGCCTTCATATTAGGTGCAAGGTTAATTCAATATGCAAAGGAGATTCAAGCATCGGATACACTTTTCTTGATACTGATGTGAAATATCAGACATTATTACTGAACCCAAAACGTATTCTTAAGTATAGTAGCCAAGTGCACAATATAGTAGATTACTATAATACAATTAACATCAGTATGGCAGATTAATTTAGCTGGAATTAACATGATTGTTGTTTAACATTAATTCAATATTCATAATGGCCCTCTCAAAGAGAGATCAAAGTACTAAACATGATAAAAAAAAAAAAACAAGCAATGTGAAAAACCACAAATATGATGACAATTATAATACCATGATCATAATTATTATTATCATTACCAATGAATATTACTATGTGATCACATACAGTCTAGTAACAAACATTACAAGATGTAGTTTGTTAATTTATGATATTCAACCCATGATTTGTCTACAGAAATTGTATATCTTATTAATCATAATTTGCTAAAAACACAAAAAAAAAAACAATCATTCTCATCCAACAGTGAGTGCCTCCTCCACTTTTAGAATGGAAGTGATGTTTTATCAATAAGTGTCGGAGAGTATATTCAGCTGTGACAAAAAAATCTGAAGACCTGACTACTGTAGGACCTTAGGACAGTCTGAATAGCTATCACCTGCAACAACGCAACTCTTTGTGAGATCATAGTCACTTTTAACCCCTAGATGTGACCAATAACATTTTTGTCATAAACCACTCACAAATATGTAAACTTACAATTAGTGTCTACCACCTAGCATCCCTGCATGATTTATTCACCATCCTAACATTTTGACAGCCTTATTAAATTGGTTTTACTGTATTAGTAAGGTTTAAGTGATGTATGTTGCTGAATGCACTGCCAAATTGACAAGTGCCACAGTCCTAACAGTGTACTTCAAATTAATAAATAAATAAACTATTAAAGTAGCTGTTGTAACTATCATGCTCATTTGAGAGATTAGGTATCATGGAGCTTTCCCATGCTGTGATTGGCCATCATGATGTACTTTGCTTTATAGGCATCTGCTAAACAGTTTAAATGTGCATAAATAACATGTTGTAAGATAATACATTTTTGAAAAAGAACATTTATTTTGAACTCATCAAGATTCTAACCAAAACCTTGATTGCAATTTGGATACTATACCAACTAAAATTCTGTATGAGGCCAAGTGGTATAATAAACCATATGATCATATATTAAAAAAACAAAAAATGCTAATAATGATAATATATTTATGTCCTCTCCAGAAACATAAGAATACACATCTAATGGGAAAGAATGGACAGAACAGCAGAAACTGGAAATTGAAATTCCATAAAATAACTACTCATCTGAAGACAAAAAAAAAACATTCTTAACCGGTGCTTTAAAGTCGGGCATTCACGTCACCTGACGGTCGTCGGCCAATGTGAATCTATTGAGAACGCAATGCCTTTGAAAATTAGTTAAAGACCATATGTGTGCGGCCCGCCAACAATCTTTGGCTAAAAACCCTTTGTTTTTTAACAGCCGGACACCAAGTTATGCAAGATATATTGGTATAAGTTGATTCAAATTCTCCAGATATATTCTGATGCAGCACTATTTATTAACGGCGACACAGCCAATCCCTAATGTAAATGAGTTAAAGTCCACTACACTAGGTGGGGCAAACTTGTTATCATACTGTCTTATCATATAAGATAGCAAATGGAAAACAAATTGCCTACTATACTACAGCATAGCATGGTGAACATTTTTGGAATGATTTTTCTTTGGATTAAAAAAAAAATCACTTGGATAATTTAACTAAAAAAATAGAAAAATATAAATTTATTACTATACCAAATTTAGGGCTCATAGCCCCTTTAGACTATACATTTAATAATGTTTGATGTAGAGTATGAGATAATCCTGCTAAGCATTGGGTTATTTTTAATTATTTGATTTTTTTTCTCTTACATTAAGCATTAAAAAGTAGAATTCAAATTAAATGTTAATATTAATGATTGGTAAATGTATGGCTACAATGTTATATTTCAAATAAGTAAAATAATAAGTTAATGCAATATATGATAATTATTGAACACATAAAAATGAAACACACATTGACCTTACTGTATAATGTACATTGTCTAAATTTAGTAATATATGAAGTGATCTTGGTGCATGCATTAATGTGCTCTATTATTGTTTACACAATGGTGCAATGAAAAACAAAGTTAAATGTGAGATCATGCATAAAACATCCCCATCTACCCAATCAACATACCTGCCAACATTTTGGAGTCAAAGGAGAAATCTGCAACTAAAGGGAAGAGGGAGTCCCCTATATTTTCAGGGGTTTTTGTGGTTGGAACGCAAAAAACAATCCTCTCCAAAATGCTTTAAACTAACCTCAATAACTTAAAACAATACCAAATGAATTCCTTTGCACTGATGATTGTTTGCACATTTTTTAATGTTCTCAAATTTAAATTTTTTAAATAGTACAAAGTGACAAAAGCAAGTGATATGGGTAGGGCTGCAAATTAAGTAGACTAAAGCCTAAATCATTAGGGTATGGCAAGTATGATTGCTACAACATATTTAACCCGAGTGCAACTCAAATCAAACCAACTTACTGCACTATAAATAATACCGGTACCACCTACTAAGTGTAAGTAGAACATACCAATTAATATCTGCCCAGCATTGTGATTTAAAATTTGTATTTTTAGGTTATTTATCTTCCTACAATATTATATGCTTATATTCTGAGGCACTTCATTTTCTAGGCTCAATCCAATCATAAGCCTTTTATTTCCTAGGTAACTACTAAAACATAAGCTCAACCTATGTATGATGAGCCTGTTTAATAAATGATTTCATGGCATACAGTGCAGTTAGTTGGTCTGTAATTCATGTGTTAACCCCCAGCATTCATTACAAGACAGTAGTTGTTATCAACAGACCTCTGGCTGCATGCCCTTTTGCAATATGTTTCGATTCTGTGGATAAAGCATGACAAGAATAATACAGGACTATTCTTTATGGAAAAGCAAAAAAACTCAAGCTATGGTTATTGCAGTTAGGAAAGCAAAATTGAACAAACTTAGTCAAGTAATTTCAGGCAGGTTAATTAATATGAAAATCAAGATGCTATCAATTACTACAATTTTTTGAAAGTGCTATTTCTAAGCCTATATAGATGTGCATACTCTTAGAATTTGCTCCAACCATGGTGGGGTTGAAGTAAGTATGGACGCTCTGTCTGAGAACTTTGACCTCTCATTGGGAGAATCTATGGCATCTCCAAAGACTACCATTATCTACACTACAGTACTTCAATGTGGCTTTTCATGATCTACCCTAGACCCAGATGTACAGTTTAATGTAGGAACTATGATAGTTATTACAGTTCAATGGATTAATCAGCTTATTACTTGTTTTTTACACCTGAAACAAAAGCAATTTTTTTTATTCATCAATTTAAGTTTCAATTATTTTTATTTTTACCTAGATGGTTTTGTTACAACTATTTTGCTAAAATAGAAAAATACTGTAATCTTGCAAAAAATGTTTTGGTATTTAAAAGTCTGGCCCAACTGCAGTTGAGTTAGCTTGAATAAAAAATTTATAAGTGTTACCTTATCACATTTCCAAAATATTAAGGTGGTGATAATATTGATAAATTCATTTTTAAACCAAATTCTGTCCATAGTCCCTTGAAAGATTAGAATTTCCACCCCAAAATATAGACATGATTAAATCATTACTAATAATATGCTCACAATCACATGGAAATTTATCAATGTCGATTGCCTACTATTACATTGTCACTAATTTTAATATCTTTTCAATTTACAATTACATCAAGCAACATTTTGTATTTGTTATTCTAGTTGCTAAGCAATTTACTACAGGGAAAGCTCATATATTTATCTTAATAATAAAAACATCATCCCATTATAAATACACATATTTTTTATACTCATTAATAGACAACAAGTATAAAAATAGGTTAATTTCCAACAGATAACAAACAAAATTAATAATGAATAGAAATAAAATATGTATTATAACAAGACAATTCATTTTTAATTTTTATCTTCTAGATAACATATTGTCCCCATTGAAATTGAACCAATGCCTTCAAATAAGCCAATTCATAGTTACAACTGCACATGCACATATCTAAGGTCAATCAAGGTCAAATGACATGAAAATATTTTGTGTATGAATGATGTTTATGCTGACTGACCTTGATACGAGCATGTGCAGTTCTAACTACAAATTGGATTATTGCTACTTGGTTGCTCAATTACTAATAAGGCAATAGCTCGAGTACTCTTTTGGATTTTCCCATTAGGGCATTTCTAACAAGACCGGTATTGCATCTATAATACATAATTAAATAATAAATGGAGTGTGTTTCTTTATACAAAGTTTAAATCATGATTTGTTTATCCATACCAATATCAAGTTCATGTTCGTGTACTTTGATATTCCATTAATCATGCTGTAGGATGTACAATCTCATAGCAAACAAACATTAATGCAAAATGCAAAGAATGTATAATTATTAATATACACAAACCTTAGAATTTCTAGAGTATGATTTTAAACGCTGAATAAAAAAAAATCATTTTCATTTTCAATTGATTTTTAAATTCTTATTTACACATGGCACTAAGCTTGTTTTATATATTTGTAGAAGAAACAATTTAAATATTGCCACCAAAATTAATTTTATAATTACATGTGCCAAACTTTTATTGAATAAAGGATTGTGGATAGATATTATCTAATTACGTAAAATTACAAAAAAAATATGAATTGATCCATTTTTAAATAGGGAATTAATTTTTAAAAAGCATAAAATATCTATAGTTCAACTTATTATTAAGATAAATATTTACTACCTAGGCCTATATAGTATAAACTACGATTTTTTCAAACTCTCGACCTTACATCGTCATCTACAGATTGTGATTTTGTTAATTTCTCTTAAATCAATATATTGTTGGTGAAAGAATGGTCGTACTTGTATTAATTTAATAGTGTAGTATAATATTATGTTTTACATAAGAAAATCGCCGAATAAATTTCGTTTTAGCGGTCGTTTTATTGTTATCTTTGGCATAGGAACTTTCGTAAAAGCTACGATCGCATCATCATCACAGCATCACAGGCTACTTCAAAACTGCCCATGCATGTCCATGCGAATGCCCAAAATGATCTATCAGGGATTTTCCACACATACTTGTCAGTAGTGAGGTCACGATGCGATCGTGATTGCGTTGAAACGGACGGTAGGATTAGGCCTACAATATGTTGAATTTTGTTGTTTTTAGATAATAAACAACATTTTAAATATAATATTGTAAAATGAAGACAAATAATAGATTTAGATAAGCATTACGATCTACGCAGCCCACGTGGCTTCAATTGGGTGATGTTGTAGGCCTTGGCTGGATAGCGTCATTCCTAGGCCTAGTCTACGAAATGACTAGGCAAGATTGAAAGACAAGACGATTGTACAAAAATTGTACGTACTGCATGCCTATTAGAAATAGTTATGGTACAAACAAATCTGTTTTATGAACAACCAATTTCCTTGGTTTGACGACGTACATGAAATTTAGTGTCTGCTATAGCCTGTTTCAGTAAAAGTTTTTGACTTGCCAAGCAGTTTTTCAAGCGAAGAAATCTAGGGCTAGGTCAGCAAAAAATTGACGTCCTGTAGCAATTCTGGCTCGGCAATATGGTCGGCAATTGCCGTGAAATTCGTGGGCTGATGAACTATGGTTTGAACAAAATTATACAAAAGGGAATTATATAGGTATAATTACTAATAATATATAGAACGATCCATTTTCAAAATAGGGAGAACAACTGTTTACCTCAAATTTAGCCGTTTTCCTCTCGACCCCTTTGATAGTATACTGTTCTTTTTGAGGCTTTGCAATAAGGAACACAATGTCACCGTTTATGTCACCAACACATTGACTTGGTTTCAGCTGAAAAATGACATGAAGAAATATTAATAATAAAAACATTGGCAATACTTGACTATTGTTTGTATAGTAGTTAATGTTATCTTTTCAGAGTAAATTTGACATGGCTTAGTCAGCTGTCTAAAATGAAACTCTCACGATGACAGTGAAATCAATGAAGAGCTAAACTAACTGACATCCCATTGACAAGGTAATTCATACTGTAACAATCATAAAATAATAACAATTCAATAACATAACATTTTTAAGACACTGTAACAATACCACCAACATGAACTATAATAACGATAATGATATCCCACAAACACTTTTTACTTAGGCTCACCTGAAATATATTTATTTTTTAAAACGTTTGAAGCCTAAGTTTTAGGGCTCTAATCCCAAGCTACCAATCTGTAATCATGGGCAGGGCACTAAATCAATATGTCTCTATCCTGAATTGTGAATCTCACCATAGTAGGAAGGGAATGTTGAATGGTTAAATTATTTGGTCTAAGGTGAAGTAGTCATACACCAAGGGAGCGTAGCAGGATATGAAGGGAAATTCTTTCATGCTCTAAAAAGTAAGGTTTTTGGGAATTTAGATTTGTATTTGTGTAATTTTAAGACAGAAAATAAATAACTTCACTACATAAGCATTATATTATTGTAAAGGCAATCACCATCATTAGAGATAAAAGAACCACTGTGCTGACATAAATAATAATTTGTGATTTGTATAGCACCTCCCTTTTAAAATAACCTTGAGGCGCTTGACAACTACAAAAGGAAATAGAAGAAATTATACCATGAACCTAGACACACAGAACACTTAAAGCCTAACCGAACCAAAAACAACATCTTATCTGCTATTTATGGCGAGATTCCTAATTACAAAATAAAAACAATAAAACATACATTTGAATGCTCAAATTCTGAATTTGTCACCAAGTTTAATTACAGTACTTCTTCAAATTTTACCCAATTTGGTAATGGTGACAGATTAGAATCCCTACGTAGGCACAGTAAAATTACGTATGCTGAGTTTGCAGTGCACCCTGTAATTATTTCATCAAAGAAAGCCAATTATGTTTTGTACACCCACAACAGCTCGTACACTTTCTAACTAATCTTTTCTTATTCTTTTCTGAAGTAAAATTCGCCCTTAAAATATGAACGGGATGTTTTATGTTTGGTGTGGGTTACACTTATGTTTATCAATGATTATTCTCTATTCACATCTTATACACAGTTAACTGGATTGAGTAACGATTGTTAATGAAAACTTAGAGCTTATCAAATTAAAGTTACATATCAAATAACAAACTTAGCAATTCTTGTACACAGCAACTTAATTTGCTGCAGGGAATGATTACAAGTTTGAAATACCAAATTCAAAACACAATGGATTACACTCATAAATTATATATCCAAGTTCACATATATTTAATCTAGATGTTATTGTTAGAAAAATAATCGGAGAAAATGTTTTATCATCAAGATTTCAATTTTCATTCTATAAATCAATAATGAATGATACACACAAAAAATATGGATAAAATTGTCTTTTTTTATTATATGAGCAAGTGGTCAACTTTTGCCTCGAACATCTCACATTTCAATTAGAAGACCAAAGATTTCCCACTGAACCACAGGCCTGCAAATATAAGTTGTAAACTGGACTAGATGCAGGCTTAATCTTGTGATCACAAAAGACTGGCGACATTAGAATTAGATGATACTCACTAAGACTGATTCCTCTAATGGGCTACTGGATGGCACCTTCATCATATGTGACACAGGATTTAACTTGTTCTTCCCTGCCATCATCACCAATAAATCGCTGGAAGACAGACTGGTAAGAAGAAAAACAATGTGTTGTAATATATTTCATAATTCCAACAACCATTGAATCATCTGTTTACTATATAAAGGAAGTATTTTACTTTAAGCAAAGTGAAATTATTGTACAGTATCTTAAAATTGTAGGATATCAGTGGAAGATCAAGAAATGTGAAATAGTGGGAGTGGCCATGTGAAGGACTTTCATAGTTACAGTGTGAAAACCACCTTTCCCTACCATTTTTGGGGCTGAGGTAAGAAAATTTATGATTATGGCACCATCTAGATGGCTGGAAATGGCACTCTCAAACTTAAATTTGAATAAATCTTTTTTTTCCCCCATTTTTTATATAATTTTGACAAAATTAGGGGGTGGAGGCAGGCCAGCTGTGTCCTCTTGAACTATCTGCAAATGGATATTATTTTTGGATTGGAAACCTCATGATGTAAAGCAATGTCTAACTTCAAACAATATGGAAATATACATGATTTGTTAAGATGTCTGAAACAAGCAAACATAGATTTGTACATAAACTTTTAGACAAAATCTGATCAAACGTTGTACAGATTCGACAAACAAAAATCTGTATTACCTAGTAGGCTTAATATGAAAACGCTCTTGTAACTTGTAAAGCTCTGTCCAGATTATCAAATTTTCTTTGACAAAAAACTGTTGTATGCTCATATATAGTCATGATGTGCCTATATATGGTCATGATGTAATGTCATCATGACCATATTTACAAGTAGTGTGTTCAATTCCCACCCGAATCAGGTTTAGACAAACAAAAATTGTTATTTGAATACTGTATATAAATATACATTAATGGTAAATCTGTACTTACTTAGCATCCACGGTTGCCTGGACTATTTTTCCATTTGGCATATGGACCCGTAAATTCCTAGTATTTGGTTTTGGTTTTGTCCCATTAGTTGAAGACTTGCCACTACGAGTAGCGGCATGACCATTTGTTGTATCCATATCTGGCATGTTTTGGTCCGTCTTTAATGTTTGAGGTGGTGGCGGCGCTTTACTGCGCTTAGATCTGAAAAATTAAGTTTCAGGATTTGTTTATTTCTTAGATATATATAGTAATGTATACTGAAGAATAGCTCACATCAAAGATACATAATTTATATTTTGTCTGCATCTTTTCCATCTTCCCTTTAGGCTTTAGTTTCTCTACTAGTTTGTACTTGATCCGGCTTCATAATACCAGATTTACCAAAAGTGCATTATCTATGGTTTATAGTAATTTTTGCGTATCAAAACTCAGTTTAATTTCTTTTGTTATTGTTCATATCTGTGTTAAATACTAAGGGTTTCTGAAGTAGATAATTCCCCTAGATGGCTCATGTAGCCATAAATAATAGAACAGAATTGATAATACACCAACATTGTGCAGTACTATGTACTTTATAGTATTATCAAGAATTACAACAATAGGTATGCCCTTAAAAAACAAGAGAGGATGACTATGTTAATACTGCAGGGCTACTTCATCATAATCTGTTATTTGTTCAGTAGTTACCGCTTGTCTATAAGTAAACACTTCGCCATCTGGGAACAATACTGGTAGTACTATATGCCAATACCTATCTGTATCATAATTGTACAGTGTATAATAATGAATACTGAACCAGAGTACCATGGACCACCGAGATAATATTATTAGTGAATTTATAATATTTCAATCCATGCACATTGCGCTCATACTACCATATCTAATTACAGGTGGCTGACAAGACGTCACCCAAATCGTAGGAAAATCGTTAGATGGTGGGTCTGATGGCGAATACGGCCCCCTGAACCTCTGCTGGCAGTGCCACTATTGTTGCTCCCCTTATAAAAAATTGTTGTACTCCAGGTGCACTTTTCATCTATGCCCCAAAATACTCTATATTAACAATACTTTACTTTTTCAATTATACACCATGCAGAAATAGCCATCAAACTTTCATGCTGTATACAGTAGATTTCTTTAACACATTTTGCTTTAATAGAGAATTGTCTCAGCACCAGTTAACAACAAAGTGTTCAATGTCCATGAAAAAGTGCTCTAAATTATAAAAATTTTTAATTCTTTCTAGCAACTCATTGTCATCTGCATACCATACTTAATTGTTAGGCACGCTTCATGTTGTTACGATTCTGCAGTACAGTGGACATTGTTTTCATTCCAGCAATTATACTAATTACTTTCCCATACAAGTAGTATTATTGTTGTCTTTGTGTAACTGCATAAGCATTGATAGAACCTGTGTTAGTAATTGTAGACATGAATTACACACGATAGTTAACATGAGCAGTGGAGACAATACCTAAATATCAAAAATTAAACAATCAAATCAAACAATAAATTAATGTATAAAAGAATTGATCCTCTTAAGTTAACTTCAATACGACATAGGCCTAAAAAATTCAGTTTCGATGATTTACAATTTTGTTAGTGTTTTGACAATCAATTTGAGTATCTGCAAGGAAGCAGCATTATTTATCTATTAATTAGAAAGAAAAAAATTTCCATTCTAATTTTCAATTGAAAGTAAACAAAAAGCATAAGGAATTCAATCATTGTCAGGTCTCTCAGTCACCTACAGTAAGAAGCTTAACTATGATTTATTGTAAATATAGATTATATTGATTTGTTATTACAAAGATGCAATAATAAATGAGTTACTGTATATCCGGTAGGCTTCCAGGTAGTGATTTTACTACCGATTCAACTATACAGTTATATCATCATGTGACCCTCAATGTTTTAGGACTGTTTTTATGAGGCTTTAGAGTGGAGAGCTAAATATCTGTGACCTTTACACTCTACACAAGCAGTACACTACAAGGGAGGGTGATTTGAACTATTCTACATTGCATGAAAATGCTGATTCATAATAATAACATGCAATATTTAAAATAATTAATTTTGTTGGACCGATTATATATAATGCAACCATGGACATAATATACATTTTTATGTAACCAAGTACAGTATACTGACTTTTAATGGTTTTGCAAAATCAAAATTTTTTATGTACACTTTCAGAGGAGAGGGAGGGGTACCAAAAAAGAGTTCTGTTTGTACACTTACCAAAATGTTGATAATTGTGAATGACCCCTAACCTTAAAGCTCTTATTCTACAAACTGTAATCAGACTAGACTAGACTTCAGACTAGAACTTCAACTAGTTGTAGCTGCAACCTCAATTGTAAACTACAAGATATTTTGACTACTGCAATTACAGAACACAGTATTCGTAGTGTATCATATATAACGACAAGAGATTATGAGGTTTTAAGAGTGGAGAGCTGAATGACTGGGCCCTCAGCATGCTAGCTATATTCAAACAGGAATTAAGAATTGGGGAAATAACTGCTACTAGAGAAAGATCATGTACCTTGGTATGATTTGAACCAATGACTCTGGAATTGGGAGAGTGAAGATCAAAACCACCCAGCTACATCTCGACTTAAGAGCATTTGCCTGTACATTTTGTAGTCCTACAATACAGTCTATACAAAATGTTATGATGTTGACTTTGAAAAATTAAATTTGATTGTGACTTGTTTCTATTTCTGTCTTTTATGATTAACAAAACAAACATGATAACCACAGTGACAAAAACAGAGCTGAAGCCTAAATAACTGCTGTTCCTACTGTATGACTGGCTTATAATTGTACAACAAAAATGTTTCTAAAATGCCGCACATTTGTTTAAATATAAATATAATACAATATACTACTGTACATGTGAACTATACAAATGTTGAAAAAAAAAATCATATTTTAATCACTTTCTGAGGTTCTACCATATGCAATTTTTCATTCATTACTATTAAATTACCAAAATCCATGCCAATTAATTCCGACTTCCTATTCCGAAAAAAAACAAAACAAATTAAAAAAAATAGACAGGAAATATTGTACAACCCTAGAAATCTGCCTTTTCACAGTGATTGTCAAAGGCCTCTAAATTCAACATAATCTATCATAACTGGTTTTTAAATATATTTAATTTTCTAAACATTCATTATTTATATTCAGTTTTCGAATGTGAACATCCAAAACGGTACTTCATGTTATTACTCTGAATACTGGGAAACAGTAAAGCAGGGCACACACAAAGCCATCTGCTCGATTGTTGGTGAAGTCTAAGCTGATTGTCGTTGAATGTTATCCATTTGAGGCACCTCGTTCAGTTGCATGTAGAGTAGTACATGGATAATGTCAGCCGATGCTAGTTGGCCCAACTGCTTTAGTCATGCATGATATGTAACAAGTGGGGGCTCCAGAAATTGCACACATGGGGCCCGATAGGTCAAACAATGAGTCCAAACCACAAACCAAGGGGGGGGGGGGGGACTAGAACCTCAATCAAAAACTATATCAAATATTGAATCGTTCATTCAGTACTGCAGGATAAGTTATCCTTGCAATTATAAATTTTAATATTACTTTAAAAGTCTGCAGATTTTTTAGACCAACTAAAAAATAATAATCAATTAAGTAATAATGCATGCTGATTGGTCAAATTAAAGTTAGACACAATTTTTAAGCAAACCAATAAGATCAAACTTTGATAGGCAGGATGTTAATAGCATTAGTAATGGAAATTACCAATGTGTGTGGCTAGGTTCATATAGAGGAATCAGCTGATTAAAAAAAAAAAATTTCATTTAATTAACAATTATGCATTACTTTATAACTATTAGATGTATATTTATAATTCCATCAATTCCCACCCAAATCACTGGTGAAATTTTATTCACAAGTATTTGGGAATCTACTGAGCATATATATTCTACTATATTCATATACTAGCAAATTGTAATATTTGAATAATTATCACCTAGCAATATCAACTTTCATAATTAACTTGAGTAATTAATTAATCACCTATTGATTAATTCATGCATACAACTGTGTTAAAATGATTTAACATTGTTGCGAATACAAAATAATTTTAAAATTGAATATATTCTAATACTTTTAAAAATGTATTAAATATGAAATACATTTTTAAATTATGACTGTTTAAAGTTGGTCAAACATTCCTAATAATTTTTTTTTTGTTACTTTTTTTGTTATTAGTTTAACATTCAATTATTATTCCTATTAGTAATGAACATCAAAGGAAATGATTATGAAGGAAATGCAATTTACAGGAGCTATAACTGAATGGTAATGTGTCCTAATTTGCAATGAACTTTAATATTCGAATACTGTACTCTGTGTATTCTAAAAATTCTACTAAATTATGAGTCTTCTTAAAATAACTACAGTCACTGATATCCAGAACTTGTTGAAATAAAAGTAGCAGAGGCTAAACACTTTGTATTCACCACAATAAATTATAAAAAAATACATAACACTAATAATTACTTAGTGTATCTTCAAAAAAATTAAAACATTATTAACATGGAGTTATTAAATAATAAAAACCAAGCAGGCTTCTTATATTACTTTATATTTTTTTCCATGTACTTAAAATTGTATATAAATATTTAAAGTTCACCATCTTTTCCTAAAATTGAATTCACTTCACTGATTTCATTGAATGTTACCAAAAACATTTGGCTTTGCCAAATCCTTATAAATTTGCTTGAGTAATCTGATTTATTTTTTTCAACCAAAACTTTATTTAATTATCAAATTTATTAAATAATTAAACATACTGTTCAATACAAGAATGCATAACTGTACAGTACTTGTTTTATACAGCTATTTGGGATTTGTTTTATAGGCGGTATGCTTAATATCTTATTTAAAATTATAGTTTCAATGTTCTATTTTCATTTACATCCTTTTGCTGTCTTGTATCTATCACTTTCTTGGGCAGTGTCATAGAGAGCTTCAATTATTAATTATTTCCTCCTTGAATGGTTATTTAACTGAAGCAACTAAAAATAATTTTGTTAGATTAACTTCCAAAAGCATTGGTGACTGTAAAGACAAATTGGTGTTCTCAACCTTGAGTATATTCCAGCTTTAAGATAAACTAAAGTTATTGATTCTTTTAACTAAAATAACTACAATCAAGATGGAAA